AGGAGCTTACCAACGAAGAAGAAGGTGAGGTGAAGGAGGAGGAGGAGGAGGAGGGTGGAGGCACAGAGAGGAAGCTCAGGTTTGGCTGTTTGCTGCAGCTGTCCTTCCCTCATCACGGACAGACGACCAGAGCATCAGCTGTGGTGGAGGAACGCTTCACCTGCACAGGTGAGTAAAGCTTCACCTTCACATACAAATGATTCCATGATATTAAGTGTTTTATATCTACATGTAAAATATCAGGTTTCACATGCACATAGTACCTTCTTCTTTCTGGCAGCTTTTTAAAAATGTTGCACTGTTTGGAGGTTTTAGTTTTTGAAATTACTCGAGGAGACGAAAGCTGCAATATAGTTGTGACTGTTCTCAATGTGGGTGGGATGGCAAGGTAACTCATGGTATGATACAATACACAATATATAGCCCACGATAACGATTATATCACAACACAGCGATTCTGTGATAAATGATAATCGTAAATTGATGCATCACAGAATCTGATTAACTAGAGAATATAACTCTAATATAATATGGCCCTAGAGAAAGGGAAAGTGCAGGATGAATGTATTTATTCTCTGTAATTTGATGTCAGTGTCACCTCTTATCATGCTCCATCATTTCACCGGCTTTTTTTGTTTTGTTTGTGTGTTTTCAGGTCCAGAAGTTTTCCTTCAGAGACGTTGTAAACTACACCGGCTCGTCAGAGAGAGAGCTTTGGTCCAGGCCTTCTCTGCAGTATTACTCATACTGCTAGGTAGTACTGCTTCAAATACTCCGACTAAGACTGCTACTCAAACTGCTATTACTACTCCTGCTGCTGCATGCAGCTGTGCAGACGGAGGCGTTGAGTGATCATATGTTTTGTGTGTCTTTGCAGGTGATGGTAAAGTGATGGTGGAGGTGAAGCGGACCTCAGATCAGCTGTTACCTGAGGACACCGAGGGAGTCCTGCAGGTAAGCTGTTCACCAGTCACACCAACACACTGCGGTAATAGTCTCTGTCAGTAACTGGTGTCGCTCTCAGGTGAACGAGTTTACTCCTGGTGAAGAGGAGGAGGATGATGAAGAAGAGTGGGACCTGACCGTATCATAAACACCCAGAACAGTGCATTGTGGGAAACGCTGTGAGAGATTCATATTAAAGCTTAATTTATTTAATAAATCTGTTTAATTACTGTGGAGGATTTTTAGTTTTCTATACTTTCACTTAATGAGTAAAGCTGCGTTCTGATTGGTTGTTTCTTAGACAGTTGTGGATAGATTCCACACAGAGGATAAAAACGTGAGACGCTTTGATGCTGAAACAGTTTTTTTTGCAGAGAAAGCATCAAGTAGGGTCGCAAGAGTGGGAAATCATTTTATTTAAAATATAATTCTATTTGTTTTATCTCATTGAGATACAAAAATCTCCTTTACAGTATAAAACGATGCAAAACAAAGAACAAACAGCAATCCAATATCAATAATTACATTTCATGTTTGTTCAGGCTGAATAAAAGCGTCAGTACAAAAGGATGATGATAATAATCTCAACCAGACTTCATACACGCTTCAGCACTTTTCCAAGTCTCTCGTGTACCTTCCCCACCAGCTTCTCCATTATGGCGTCAGCAACTTCCAGGCTCACCCTGACCCTTATCGAGCCCTGCACACATCCAACGACAAAAAACCAGCTGTGATAACAAGGCAGTATACAAAGAGTGAACACATAATAATAAAATAATAATAATAAACTGTGTATAAGATACACAATTATTATAGACTCATATATTAGTTATAAAATAACAATGTACTGCACGATAGATATCAACTAATGTAATAACTATTACATGTACAGTATAACAATGGTAGACTACTTAATATACGTTAAATAATGATCACAGATTATGTAAAAGATAAATAACCACACTGCATACTATGTACAATAAACACACACACTTTTTAAGTAGAGCAGGCAAAAGATGACCCTCTCTGGAAAATTACCAAAGTGCATCAGACTCACATCAAAGAAGTCGATCTCTCCACGAGTGAATGCCACTTCTTTGGGAAAAGGAATCTGCATTTCTTCACACACAAAACACACACACATATACACATTAGTTATAATGAGCACTTAACATGATCAACACCTCTGTCACAGACCCATCCTCTATTCAACACCTTAAAAGTCAACTTTTTCAGATAAGTCAGTCCTGTTCTGTTACCAATAAATCATGTATTCCTGGTCCCTTATTCACTATCATGTACGCTAAAATACGTGTTAGCATCTTACTCCCTAAAGATGTCTCCTTTGAAAGTTGGACATTAAGCTTGGTCTTGTTTTGCTGTTTTTAATAATAGTATTCACACAAACAAGCACAAACTTATAGACTGGCGCTCTCACCACTAGAGCTCGACTGATTCATCGGCCGATAATATCAGCCGATATTGGCTCATCCAGTGAATATCGGTCTCGGCTATTTTAACGCAGATTTCTTTCTCCCCAATATCGGTACCGGCCCTAAAAATGTCAAATCGGTCGGGCCCTACTCACCAGCTGGAGGGGATGCACACTAAATTACAGACAAAGTATATGAAGAGAAATAAACTGAAATGTGGCTCCTCGATTATGATTGAGTCACTTATTATTCAGACCCTTAGACCTTACCAGGGTATGAAGTTACAACTTGTTAAAAATATGTATATTTAGTTTGAAAAAATGTATAAAAACACAAGGGGCACGGCATGGTTTAAGCGCCACAAATGAATTTCATAGATAACAATAAGGCAAAGTGTTGAGTGTCCATCAGTTGTTAGAATGTGTTTCAGAAGTCCTATGTGACACTGTGGGTGTGCAGTTGATGTACTTACCAGAAATTGTTTTCTCAATCTTGCTCTTCAGAAAACCATTTAAAACGCTCAGCTGTATAGAAAGAACACATCATCACGGCTGTCATTACAGACAGACAGATACACTGAAAGACAGGCTCTTACCAATGCATCTCTGAAGGCAGTTTTGGTGAGGATGGTACAGCTGAAAAGGTAAAAAAAATAAATATAAATCAGTGAATGAAAACTGATGGGATTGTGTATGCACTCTGGGTGTTTGCAGTGTGTGTTTGAGTGTGTGCGCTTACAGGACTTCATTTGAATGAAAAGTCAGACTCTGTCCTGTTATAGCAACCTCCATAGCAACCTTAAATGTCTGGTGGAGAAAAAACAAATTAATTATTTTTAATAAAGGCAAAAGAAGAAGGCAACGGGTTTTCAGACTGTGAAGAGGCGAAACCAATGACCCAGTGGGGGCGTTGGTGCATTGTTCCAGCCGCCGATAAAGGTGCACAATTTCTCACAGATGGGAGGTATATCTGTCTGTTAGCTTGTTGCTAACACATACAGGAAAATGGCTTTAACAGGCTAACAGAATTTGCATCTCAATAATTTTAACATATAAATATCTTAACTCTTATATGTAACATACTCAACAAACAACACCTTATGCACCTGTACCTACAGGCATGTGTTTCCTAAACCATGTGGAGACCAGACAAACTGCAGAGTCATGATAGCCTGGTCTGCTGCTCTGATCCACCTCCATAAACAGTCAATGCTCTAATCCAGTGAAACTGCATGACTCGCTCTTTATGTCTCAGTTCATGGGACGTGTCCTTACTAACTATTGGGTGGTGGTGTGTAATGAGCGCATTTCTCCTGCGCCCATCGAAACTCTTTTTGCAGCATCCTGAAAGCTGTTTTGTGTTTACCGCTGACACAGAGAGGAGATTGCTCTGTTTCTTGACGGCCCTGATCTTGTTTTTGGCCTTCATTGTGAACACTCGCACTCTGGCTCTGCCGTTGACAGTGATTCCATCACTCTGCCTGATGCTGAAGCTGGGCGCTTCAGTGACTTTCACCTCGATGAAAAGAGTTTTCATCAGCCCGAGTGGTTGCTATAAAAACACAGCATTAATTAAAACTGTAGAAAGAGAAAACTAAAACAGTACCAGTAAAACCAAGCATCCCATCTTGTAGAAATGATGTCTATATATGACTAATTTGTTTTACCAGTTCTGTTTTGTTAGTACTGTACAGACCTGCTCTTTTTTATTTGATTATGGGCTATTATAATTCACTGATTAGCTGATTGACTGCAGCCGACCCTGTTGCTGCTTATTTAGTTCTTCTGGAGAATCAGTGTTTTATCACCCACCTTAAAGCCACCACGAGGAGTTTTTAGCTGGTTATGAAACAGGCCAAAAGTGAAAGTGATCTCTTAGTATAGATAGATAAATACTTTATTGATCTCGAGGGAAATTCAAAGAACATATAAGCTTTATATAAGCAACAAAAGCAAACAAGAACATCAGTGACAAAGTTGATCATTTATTTAGTTATTTTCATTGCCTTTAACTTGTGCTGCAGGGTAGGTGCCATACACAACCATTTACAGCAACAAAAAACTATTTTTACATTTTTCTCAGCAACATGAAGTGATTTTCAGTAACATAAAATCCTTCAAACTCACAAAACATTTTATAACATTTTAAACTCTGGTGTTTGTGCTTACCCTGAAAAACTGCAAAGTTTTGAAAATAGACATTGCAGGTACACTGGTCACCTTTTGAGGAGGAAAGAAGAGGTTTATACATTTTAATTCAACTTTAACACTGTTGAGCTGAAATGTATACAGTAATTACACACTTCTGGTGGTAAATATTATAATTAAAGCCTGCAGTAATTACAGTGAAAGTTGTACACTGATGTTGGCTGTGGCTGCTGATTAAACGGTTGTGTTCGTTGTTGTTTCTTACCATCTTTGTCTGACTGAAGGCTCCTTTATTGTACAGAGACGAAGCTAGTCTGTTGAAGAGGCTCTCATAAATAGTGAAATCCATTTCTCTGAAAACAGAACCGTTCCCATTTAAACCCGTCAGAACAGACTCACCCTGAAGCTCTGAAACAGGATAGAGGATGCAGGATACATTCAATGGGTCCAGGGTTCAACTTTTTTCTGTTATATAACAATGATAACCTGGTAGTATAAAACACACACATGCATATTGTACTCTGGTTTCCCTGAGATTCCATGGCTATTTAAACTTCTTTAGACAGAGAATTTGGCATTTGATATCTAAGCAGCTGCACCTAGGGGCCATGTCCACTATATTCTGGTCCAACACAGTAGTACTCCAGTGTATTTTGGCATTTCTATTATATTATATGTATAATTCTCATTATTTCAACTAAAGAGGTTGATCATCTGCACCATTTACCAAATATTTGATTTAACAAAGAATGTCATTTTTGTGCTCAAAGGGAGGAAACGTAAGCTGTTTGTTTCTAAAGCTGTAGGTTATACTTCACTAGTCGAGTTTTCACAGTTGTACTTTGAATAAGCTGAGTCATTATATGGTGAAGCTAAAAGGTAATTAAATAAAATGGCATTTGGGCCACAACAGATTAAAACTATGTGGTAAACCTGGTTCTATTTCATCAATAAGATCTTTTCTGGTTTTCCAGTTTGATGTCCTCTGGCTGATCTGACTGAACTCTTGATGTGATATCGGTATCGTCCCCAAAAATCTAATATCGGTCGGGACATACTATGATCCCTTTGAAGTCACTTATTATACCTACGATATAAAAATATGAAAATGATGAATCCAGCAGCAACATGTACACCTCTTATTTCCAACATAACAGTTACTTAACTGGAAATTAGATGTGGTGACAGATTGCAACAGACGAATCAGACTGTCCCTGAAAGCATCACGACAAGAACTGGCCATTTATCTATCAAAAAATACTTTAATGTCATCAACAAACAGGAAACATACGGACAACAGTTCACCACAGTGATGACACACCACATAATATTACACACAAACATGTGCCGCTTTCAAGGACTGAATTATTACAATTATATAAAACATCTAAAAAAAGGACACAAAAACAATCATTTACAAGCCGGCTGTTAGATTTCTATTTGCTAAAGCTGTTTTGTTGGATCCTACAGCACTGGAGTTCAACACCACACAAATTCCTGACAGCATTTTTTTTTTAAACCATTTAATACAGGAACTACTTAGTTTTTGGCATCTTCAGTACTTTATATCCGACCTACCTCAGAGGCAGCAAGGATGCTGGGAAATACTTTTCACAGATACACATAAAAACACGTTCAGAACTGTCATTTGAAAACCTTGTATCTTTGTGTTTAAATACAGAACGTATCTGTAAACAGTTTGAAAGGTTTTCGTAGGGCAGTAGACACGCATACACACAAGAAGGCAGGTATTAAAATGGCAGTGTTGGGTTCAGTTTGGCCTGGTTTGGTTGAGAATTTCTCGATGTACTTCAGGCAGTTTTAGGCGAGTTAGTTTGGTTGGTTTGGTTATGGATTTGTTTGTCTGATTATGGAAGAGACTGTTTGGTCTAGCTCAGGATGTGTTGGTCTGATTTGGTCTGGTTTAGGATGTGTTGGTCCTTTGTAGGATTTGTTTATCTCACTTGGTCTGATTCAGGATTTGTTCATCTGGTTTGGATGTGTTGGTCCAGTTTCAGATTTTTTTGGCTTAGTTAAGGATTAGTTCTGATTTGGTCGGGTCAAGGCTAAACTGTTCTGTTCTTTTTTTCTGTATGAGTTGGTCTGGTTTGGTCCTATTCAGAAGGCCCCTTTCTGGTTTGGTTTGGTCCAGGAGAGATTGGTGTGGTTCAGTATGTGATGATCTTGTGGTTTGATCTGGTCAAGGATGGAATGGTCTGAATTGACCTGGTCATCAAAGTATTTTCTGGTTTGTTCCAGTACATAATGAGATGCTCTGGCTTGGTGCAGTTCAGAATGTGTTGATTGGGCCCAGTGTGGTTTAGGGTGTGTTGGGCTAGTTTGGTCCGTTACAGGATGTATTTGTCTTTGTTTTTTCGGGTTTATGATGGGTTAGTCTGGCTCAGTCTGGTTTAGCATAAGTTGTTCCATTTCAGTCTGGTTCAGGATGACTTGGTAGGGTTCTGGATGTGCTGATCTGGTTTGGTGTAGTTCATGATTTGTTAGTCTGGCTCGATCATGGTCAGGATGTGTTGGTTCCATTCAGGATGTTTTGGTATGGTTCGGCCCAGTTCTGTGTGGAACTGGTTTAGTCTGGTTCACAATACATTGGTCCAGTTCAGAATCTAATGCCATGGATATCTCTGGTCTCTGAGGCTGCGTTCACACTGCAAGCCATAATTCTCAATTCAGTTTTTTTTGCTCAGATCTGATTGTTTTGTTTGGCTGTTTACATCACTTTTTAAATATGGTCAGATTCAGATCACCATTGGCTGCAGTGTGAACGCAGCCTTAGTTTGCCTCAGTCCAGGAGGTGACCCAGTGTTTCGGGGACTTCCTGCCTCTGGATGACGATGCTTGGTCTTGGATCAGGAAACCATCAGCGTCAGTATACTGCTGCTGCTGCTGGTCTTTGTCCAGAATCCTCCCCTGATGGAGCACTGTAGTCCGCCACGTACTCCGGCGCTCAAAGAAACCACACTGCAGACAACACAGAGAACAGGGTTGAAGTAAACAGGAAGTGGATGCATTAACAGGGCGAAATAAATAAGAAGTGGACAGAGGGATAGGTTGAAGGTAAATTTATCTCTCTTTATAAATGTTAATTTATTTTAGGTATATTAGTTTATATGACGTATTGTTTTGCATCCATTTCTTTTATTTTCTTTTATTTGGACCTTTGTCAATAAAAGTCATGGAATTTAAAAACAATTATCATCATCATCAAGGCTGAAATGGAAGTATGGAACAGAAGCTACTATCATGTTGAAGGTGAGAGACCTGTTTTCATTAAAGTCAGAAACCACAGAAGAAGAAATCATTGGACATCTACATATTCAGGTAAATACTGATTAAATAAATACAATTAGTCACTGAATTAAAAATGATTAATAAAAAAAACAGTCAGGTAAAAGCAGAGGAAATTTGACAAACAGGAATAACAAAGATCAGCAGAGTTCTTGGTCAATCAAAGGAAGCAAGAGTCATAGGAGCTGGAAAGAAGGAAGGAAGTGAAAAGCTTTATCCAGAGAGCCTCCAGTAGAAAGCAGAGGAAAACATCAGCCAGTACTGGCAAGTTAAGACCAGTCATCACAAGTCAGACTCAAGTCTGTAACATGTCAGAAACAGTTAACTAAAGCCAGTCAGTAAATAGTCAGTAGTATTCCAGAAACAGTCAGTTAACAACACAGTATGTAACAGTCAGATAGTAAACTGGTAAGAAACAGCTCCAGGGAGGAATCATCAAAAACGCTTAGTATCTGTCAAAAAAAAAAACTGAAATTAAAGTCACTATCAATAACAGTCTGTCATAGTCCGAATGAGTCAGTAACTGAGAAGAAAGAGTTACATTCAGTTAGTAAACAGTCAGTAGTGGTCGGTAGGAGTCAGCCGGTCCTTACAGCAGGGCTCTCTGGCAGCAGTGAACCCAGCCTCAGAGCTCCTGGTCCAGCCTCTCATGCTCAGACGGCTGGCTCTTCATGTGGGCTTTCTGGGTCTTTGGCTGGTACAGCTCTCTGGTGCTGGCTCTCTTGAAGAAACCACACTGAACAGCAGGGGGCGACACAATGGAACTTTACCAACCAGGAGTGGGTGATAACATTACAAATAGTATCGGCGATTACACAGAAAAAACATGATAATTATTAGACTTCAGTAGTCCCTAGTAGACCTGGAAACTACATCCTAGGATAAGAGAGAGGTATTGTGTACAGATGGTTAAGATTTCTGCTGATGTCTGGTGGACTCCATCTTAATGATACAACCAAGCTTGGTTACCTTCCAAAGCAGCAGGCAGATCAGAGCCAGTAGTAAGACTCCTGATAGGACAGACACCACCATTATCCACAGTGGGGCACCGGAGTCCACCTGCTGCCCCTGGTCTGGATAAATGGTGATCTCAATCTGCAGAGGAAGAGCGCACTTGAATAAGAGGAGAAAATAGGAACTACAAAACATTGTAATGGTGTGGATCGCAACAGATGCATCATTAGGGTGTTTGATCAGACTGTCAGAACATTACAGCCTCTAAGGGGGCGCTAGCAGTATTTTAGCAGCTTAAAACCTCTGTGATTTGAGACTCCATGCTGATGGTGGGTTTGCTAGTCTGCAGTTTCAAAGTTGCCTGGCTTCGGACCAACACAGTCCTAGCGTCACTGTAGTCCTGAAACACACAGAAGAAGTGATAATAAAACACCAATAACAAGCAGACAAACAGACACGAATATAGTCCATAGTCCATTTTTTAAATTTAACCCACAGTGGGTTTCTTCCTCAAATGCACATGCTTATTTATTTGTATTTACTTGTTTCTCTGCCTCACTTCTCTTTCAACAATGTGCAAATAAACAGAAACTAGACTAAACTAAACATATCAGCATACAAAGTAATCATAGCTAACATGATAGCATACAGCTACCTACTTCCATATCCAGCAGTTACAACACAACATGATAATTAACAGGGGTTTGCCGTTTATGTCTAGCCTTGTTAAGTGGCTTACATCCCCACTATAGATAGTGTACAGTGGTTGTAATAGCAAATGGCAGCAGACAACTCTGTGACTGAACCAGGTAGGAAATGTGCAACAAAACCAAGACTACAAGCTAAAAGAGGCTACAGAATTGTTTCTACCTCTATCATGGTGGAGTTCCACAGCCGTGCTCTGACAGTCAGGGTCGCTGAGTTGTCCATGTTGCCCAACGGACAGGTAAACTTCACACATTTAGCCCCATGGACACAGTCCTGCACAGACAAAATACCCACATGCATGTAAGGACTACAATTTTCAAAATGTATTTTCCCAACCAAAAACTAAATCCATCATAAACTCTTAACAAGAATTCAAGTTATCATCCTCAGACACAACTACAAAGTTGTAACGTTTGAATGAGTCGTCACAAATCAATGCCTATCCTAACTTTGTAAAAGTCTTCAAATAGACAGATGTAAAATAACTTACAATTTCTGCCTCTAGTACAAAGGTTATAATTTACCCAAGAGGTGTGACCAAAGCTTAGGTAACTTATGAATAGCAGTAATACAAAAAAAAACTGAAGCAACGCTACAGAAAGAGTGTGCTTGTACCAGAGTGTAGGACTTCTTTTTCAGTCCCTGCAGGTGGAGGACAGGAAGAGTTTTTCCACCCTTGGAGTCCTTTGTCTCATTCCCTTTCTCCTCCAGACTCCGCCTCCTCCTCTCCTTCTGGTCCTCCTTTGACAGCTAAGCAAACAGGGAAGAACAGTGAGTCAAGAGTAGGGTTACATTTGTGAGCAGTTTTAGAAAACAGAAATGTTTCCTCTGACAATAAAACAAAGTAGCATTCATGTAAAAACTTTTGTCCATGCTTTGATTTTTAAGCAAAGGTTTGCAGAAAACACATGAATTCAAAACCATAACAGATCCGTCTCCAAACGTTCTAAAAGGTCTTAGCAAGGGGTTTGAGTAAAATAAAACCAAATGAAGCCAATAAAACATCCAAAAATGTATTTCCTGAGACAAACATGCAATGAAAAATAAATAATTACCAGCCTGTGTCCAGCAATTTGCAAGCCAAGGACTTTGAGTGAGCCAATGGGAAGCTAATGTTTCACTAGTTACCTTGAGGTTGAGGGAGTTGATTATGTTGCCGGGCGGAGCACAGTGAGGCTGTGATGTACCGTTCACTTGGATCTCTGCGATGTACAGCAGCCACTTCCCGTTGGACACCTCCATTGGCCAATCAAACTCCACCTCAAGGTTACCAAGGTGACCCAATGGCTTCCCTTTGATGTGGACCTATCAGAGTGGGTAATAGATTAACCCCCGGTCTGTTAACAATCTATAAATAGTCAAACTGAGTCTAGACATACCTGCAAAGTAAAAAGCACCAGACTGCCGACATCCTCTGTGGTTTTCATTGCAGACTCACCGATCACATTACCACTGAAGGAGGTGAAGCCTGGCGGATTTATTCTATCAGGACAAAATCAACAATTAAAGAGAGATGAGGTCATCGAGTGTAAGGTTTACACTGAACCGCATAAACTATATTCTTACTTACAGATTAAGAGACGTCTGTAGTGAATAATCCACCAACATGGAGACAGAGACGGGAACCAGATCTGACTGCTCACTGAGCCTGAAGAGAAAGAGACATTTATTGTACCAGTCCAAAGAGAAACATTAACAAAAGTGTGTATGTGTGTGTGTTTCATACGTGGACAGCTGCAACACAGACTGAATCTCTCTGGTGTCTAAACTGATCTCAGACGGCTGAAAAATAATCCAAACCTTAACCTGTGATACAAGGAGAAAAGAAGTATCAGATACAGTACAAACAGTTATACAGAAAGTAGTACTAGAAGTTCCTAAGTAGAAGCACTTATAGATCAATAGGAACAATATTTACCTTCTGATTGCTTTTAAATGGATTTCCCAGCTCACAAACAAGAACTGTATCCTTAACAGAACACTCCACTACTGCCTTGGCACCTTGCTGCTGGAAAAACAAACAAAGGACTGACTGTAGTAGTAGTACTATTACTCAAGGTAATCAGTCAAGTCCTTCTAGGTAAGCCTCATGTCAGTCAGTCAAATACTCCAGGATAAGTCTTTAGCCAACCATTCTCATGCTCTTTAAGGTCATTCTGAAACCAACCAATAAGGTCTGGTAGGGTAGGTTTCAAGCAAATCAGTCAAGTCATTTAAGGTAAGACTTAAACCAACCATTCAGGTATT